TTTTGCTGCAGCTGCACAGTTGGCCGTGTGGGCTCGTTCCAATATGAACGCTGTATATCACGAGACACCCACAGCTACCGGCGTGTTGTGCTGATCGGGCTCCACGTTGTGTTTCTGAGGATGTAGCGCTGACAGGAAACCAGACGAACGGCGTATATAACAGCCTGGAGGGTCCGACCGATTTATGGGCCCAATATTTGGCTTTTATTAAACATCTGAACTTGGCCGGTTAGTTTGATCCACCTTGTGTCTCTGCTCTTCACTATAACAACAGAACCAAGCAGTGATGCTAAACCTGGTCTCTTTGCCAAGGTTCCAATAAGCAGAGAGTTTCTTTGCTTGCTGATGCTTCAAAAGAGGCATTTTCACCGTTTTCTGACAAGATTTGAGGGAAAAAATGAGTAAAATCCTTGGATTGTTTTGGCATAAAATGCTTAAATACAAAGTCAAACAATGGCATAAAACAACAGATATGGGCAGAAAAGTCCCAGTATGTTCTTCATATTGGACCTGTGCTAAATGAAAATGAGCAATATGTGTAAAAGCACACTGTAGGCATGACTGTGGTCGATGCTGCAGCACATGCATCCATCTGTGAGGAAAAAACTACATCGAATTGGTCATTACGCCAAAAACGGCTCCACCAGGGTCAACCAAGGTCCTACCGGGAAGCCTCGTCACGCATTAATGCAGTTATCATGGAGCTAACTATTTAATACATTAATCATTTGATACAGAATATTGATTAAAAGGGTTTGGATGATTTACAGCCCTGAACTAACAGCCCTGCAGATCTGTAACCAGAGACACCAACCAAATCTGATAAATCCACTTAGCCTCCAACTATCCATCAAACATCTGAAAGAACCCAAAGTAATAATGTTTAAACTCCTGCTCTGATTGTAAAAGGAGTTCCTGCAGAAACCAGGCACTTCAAAATAAAAGTTTATTTTTATAGCACATTTTATGCACTTTGTCCAAAGCAGATAAAAATGTTTGTTTTATTTTATTTTACTTAAAAACAAAGGAAATACGGTGTATTTAAGATAGAAGATTAGAAAAACAGAAAGATTTAGTATAAAGTAAATAAAAGGCAAGTTTAAACCAGAATTCAGTGAAAGTGGCACAGAATTGGATTAAAGGACACATTGTGATGGCGTTGGCTTTTAAACATATTTAAACATTCTTGCTGATTGATAAATGTTCAAAAGATTTCCATGCATGAAAACAAACAAGTGGTTGTCAGCTGACAAAATCTGAAGAACATCTTGCATCATTTTCACCTCAGACAGCCTTTAGTTTGGACGTTTTTAATATGAATTCACTGTTTGGTCAAATAAATGTCAGGAAATGAACAAATCAGTATCACAGAACTCAGAATCAAGAGTCTTCAGATTGTTTTTTGCCCAAAACCCAAACTCTGAAGCAGGAACCTTCAAATTTTGGGCTTTTTTCTTGATAAATGTTTAAGAATTATTCACCTTAAAATCCAGACAGTTGATTCTGTGGAAATGTACCATAAAAAGCAGCACTGCAGCGTATCTCTACCTGTTCTTTCAGCAGCATCTTCGCTCCTCTTGTGCTTTTTCACCTCCCACCAGGTGCTGGAGCGCTTTAATAATCTGCACACATTTATGAGTCGGTGTCCGAGCCCATAGATCAGCGTCAGCGCAGCGACCTGCGAGGACATCAGTCACATCAGATACAGACTAATGAAGGCCTGCTCGCATTACCTCCACTGTCAATCAAAAACCCGTCGGTTAATCATTGGATCTCGCTCATTAAGAAACACAGATACCCGCCGAGATTCAGTCCAGGTCTTGTGTTTGGCTCGACGTCCTTGTGGCCCGACGCAGACGCCGTGCGGCTCTGTATATTATAATGAAAAGGACATGCCGGCCAGCATTTAGCTCTCCATTTACACTCCATCAGTCATGTGACTGAATGAAGGAGCTGCTGGGGCTTCAGTGTCTGGGCTGATTATGAGCTGATTCATTGTTATTGGACAGTCTGCTCAGTTCACTATGCAGACGTATATCTGTGTACCACTGGTTCAACAAAACTGCACAAGTTGTTGTCATAAAATCATAGTTAATGAAAATACAGATTGATTTCTGGAAAGGATTCACCTGATTTCTGTATTTTTAGCCAAAAAAAACATCTTTTGATTTGACACGTAAGGTTTAAATGTGGGTTTTGTCTGTAGAAATGTGTAAAAGTACACGAACAAGCAAATGAATTAGTTCTACTGGGTTGTTCTGCACACTGACATGCATTTTATGAAATCTTTAGTCTGTTGTGTTGCAGAACGATACGATTATCTCACCGTGTGGATCAGATTTCTCTGTTTGCACAGAACAACCCTTTCCAGCATCACTTCAACGTCGTTTCCAATCTTCCACTGACCTGGTTACAAAGATTTCGTACCGTTAAAATGGATAAAGTGCACCAGACTACATGTTTTCATTTGCTGTAGTGCAAAAGACCATAAATGTAAACTTGCCTTTAAAGTTTTAACTGTTCGTTAAAGACCAGTTGGAGAGTCCGTGTGTTCAAAGGCCTTGATTTCTTTTCAAATGCATCTTTACAACTAAAGAGACAAATTTATGGGGATCACTTCACTCCATGATCATTTTTTTCAAAAGTTTAAAGTTATCCGAGTTAAAGAACGTGTCATAGATCCTCATCAGTGGCTGCACAGCTCAGCCTCTAAATGTAAAGCAAAAACAGAGGCTCAAATCAATCCACACTTTTCCAGCTTGTTTTCTGCACATTTTTACAAATGTTATTGAGCTAAATAGCAGCAGCTTTTTCTCCAGAATTAGACTCCACCTTCTTTGTAATTAAAAAAATGCATTCTCAGTGAAACTTCTGGGGAAATGCATGAAGAAGCAGCTTCAAACATGCCATGAAGGCCGTATTTTAACCCAAACCCTGACATTTTCCTAAATCGAACCAACCAGCGAGCGACCAATAAAACTGAAGTCACAGAATAATGGTGCCACATGAGACGTGAACCTCAGCCTCCTGGATGCTGCAGACTTCTACCTTTAACCTCCTGATATCGACTTTGTGTCTCTTTCAGACTCAAAGTGTTTCTATTCTGCCTTCGTCTTACCATTTTGAGGAAAAACTACATTTCTGTCAAACTTCAGATGCAGTTTTCGGTTTGAGGGGACTTTTCTTGCCACCTGTAAGCAAAATTCTGCGTCTTGTTGGTTAACTGGTCTTTTCTCCGACACGCAAACTGAGTAAAACTGCAGCTGTACGTTTAGAACAAAATGGTCCATGTCACTGCTCGTCTCCGGTACCGAGCGGTGCAGTCATTCATTACAGCTCACAGAGGTTCCTGCTGGGATTTGTGCAGAGACGAGTGCAGAGGAGCAGCTCGACACGGTGGCAGGATTTCATTGTGGTCACGTATCCAGCAGACAGAAAATGACAGTTTGCTCAGGTGTATGAATGAAGATATTGTATTTGCTGCCGAGAGACTGACTGGCATATTTTCGCCCAAAAACTTTTCTCTTAAAGTTTTTCATTTATCCAGGGGAAAGCTTGCTCAGCATGCATGCTGGTTTTCCACCGACATCCTGGAAGCTGGCCAGTATTCAGCAGTTGGTGGTTAAGTGTCTGATGCCGGAAAAGTTTTTCCTCATTTCTCGCCCAGGTGTTTACAACCAGTCAGCAGGACTTTATTTTTCCTCAAAGCCTCACTGATCCTGCCTTTACTCTTAAGCTCGTGGTTTTGTGTTTGGGATTCACACATTGGAGCATCACCAAGCCACTTGTTTTTTTCCTGTCAAGGTCAACGCACCTTAATGAGGCCAATTCTGATCACAAATTCCATTTTCTGTCGCCTGAATCCACCATTTACACTCACATTTGCTCATTAAGCGCACAGTGGCTCTTTTGTAGTTAGCAGCTAGAACGAATGAGCACAAAAATAAAGACAGCAGTTTTCTGGGAGGACACAATTCATCAGCGTTTAATGACAAACAAACGTGTCAGTGACTCAGATGTTGTGCTGATCTGCAGACGATGCTGAAGAAGCTTCATCTGATCTATTGAGAAAACTTCCCATCACAGCGTGCTTTAGTCCAAATCAGACCTGAAAGTCCCATAAAACAGTTCTGTGGCCTTTCTCATCAGGAATTACTAAAAAAGATCTCAGTTGATTGTTTTGTTTGTGACCTGAGTCTTGGTCTGACCCACTACATGTAGACTTCAGGCATAAATCTGTCATTTCCTCTCCTCTTCTTACCTTATCTACCTTCAACCATTTTCAGAATCCCCTTCACTGCAGGAAACAACAACAGCAGCATCGTGCTGGATGAACATTTTGCGTAAGACTTGGATCATACAATAAGGCCGCCCTGCTTGGTGGGTGTTTTTGGGTGGATTCATCCTTTAATGGCAGTTTTGTCTCCTTGCATGCAAATGTTCTGCCAAAAAACTTCCCCCATCCTTATTTTGCACGGGGCACCATCACTGCATCTTGGGCTTAACACCACCTAAGAAAACTGTGATTGGTTTGAAGAAAACACAAACAAACTAGAGCTTTTTATTTTCTTTTTAAACGAGGTGTAACCAGACAGTTGTCCAGCACAGACAGGTCTGGCTTTTACTACAAATCTGAAGAAACATCAATATGTGAGGTTTAAAAGCCTGATGTGATGCTGTCAGGCCACAATGGTGAAGACATATTTTTAAATATGAAATACCAACTGATCTGAGCCTGGGCATTAAAATGTGGACATAATGTTTTAATCTCTGTCTTGTATTCTTCAGTATTTTCCACCTAAATGCCAAGTTTATATGTTTGATTCCCTTCAAAGGTTGTATGACAGTCCACAGGCTTTGCTCTTCAGTTTAATTATATCAATTACATCGAGGTTCTTCAGATGGAATTGTCCATCATTTGTCAGTGTCACTTACGCCACTGCCAGTTCGCAGCTGTGTGACAGCGATGACTAATCTGCCGCCGCCTGTCCCTCCTGCAGGAGCTCTGCCGGCAGCGAATGGCAGTCAAACCTCCAGCCGAGCGTCCGGAGCCCATCTCCTCCAGGATCAACAGCGTCTCGTCCCAGTTCAGCGACGGCGGTCCGGCCATCAGCCCGTCGGCGCGGAGCAGCATCTCCTCCTGGAGCGAAGAGCCCGCCCACTCCAACATGGACATCTCCACCGGTCACATGATCCTGGTGAGTCTCCCGCTGGGCTGCTGTGGTCGCGACCGGGCGAGCGGCTGTCAGTTGCATTTTCTGAGTTTGTTTGCGGAGTAAAGAACCTCTGACCTCCACAAAGTTCAAAAGCAACCAGATGAAATACAGCAAGTGTTGAAAACTCCCAAAGGACAGCAGGTCTGGCGCTCTGTCAAGTAGAACACAGGAGATTTCAATCATGTTTGGTTCCCCGACACTGTTCTCTGACAACACATACTGATAGATTACATATTTCTCACCAATAGCACTTCTACACCACCAGCTGTATAAATGTGAGGAATGTTTTCCGGTTTGGTACAAATCTCTCTTTTTTTTTTTTTAGCATCCATCATCCACATCGTCCCATCCTGCACATTTAGAGTTGTTGAAAGCACTTCTGACTCTGAATATAGCTCATTTTAAGGTTCACCTGATAGCTGCTCGCCTATTTCTAAACCTCTGAATTCAAAGTGCTCCTGTGCTGCGCTCATAAATGACAACAACCAGGTAAGCAGGGATGTGCAGACAGGACTAGGGATGGATCTGTAATCATTGTGCACCAGGTGAAGACAAATCATCCTTGAAAAATGGCCACAAAATTGCAAAACTGGAATTGAGTCGACATATTTCTGTAAGCTGCTCTTAATTTAGCGTCGAAAAAGGTTCAAATAAATGAGCGACGCCTCCTGCAACTGACACGAGCAGCACGATACGTCACTACAACGCCCAAACTGAAGCTGGCTAACGTTGGTGCTTCCTCATCATCAATAATTCATTCCAGTCAGAGAATCCGGCTAATTCTCCCAAAAGGAGTTTACAAAGTAGGAGCATTTCAGAGTAAATAGAAATGTGTTTCTTATTTTAATGTAAATGTAAAGAGAAAGTCTGCATGTTTCAACTGGTCAGCTACTCCAGTGTGTTTTCTATCTTTGCGCTCATTGTTTCGTCCTCCCCAGTGAAACCAGTAACCTCCTCATGAAACACTGGAGCTGTTTTGCAGCCGTCACTCATACGACTGTCTCTTCTGCCTTTCTGACTCCCATCTTTGTCTCACATTCACTTCTCCTTTTCCCTCTCATCTCACTGTCTGTCTCATCCTTCTCCCTGTTCGTCTGCTTTCTGGTTTTTTTTTGTTTCTGTACATCTCATTACGCCCACAGTTTGCATAAGCTGGCTTCTTCCCCTCTTCTATCCGGGAGATGAAAATCTCTATTGAACCTCGGTCACATTCTGAGCGCCATCCTAATATATGGCTGCTGCCTCCCCCACCGCCCACAGCGCCCTGCCTCCCCCTCTCCATGCATTGTGAAGCTGCCGGCGAGATGTGACAGAGCGGCCTTTCTGATGTCTTCAATAGGCACAAAGATACTAATTACCCCAGAGATTTGCACCACACTTGTGTTTGGGGAGAAATGACTCCCTTTGCAGAGAGAGCGTCTCTGTGGTTTAACGCCAGCGCACACCGAGCTGAAGCGCTTCTTTGCCCACAGACACGACGCGGTTCTGAAGCGGCGAGGTCACGTGTGGATGAAAATAGATTTGGGTTTGTGAGGTCTGAACTTCTTCAGGTACGTTTGCTTTGTCTTCAGTCTCGGCAGATAAGAGAAGAAATGAAGCGCCGCTGACGTTTTGTCAAGTGTTTGGTGGGTGTGCGGGCCACAGTGTGGTCCAGAGGATTACTGCATTTGTTAAATCATGCAGCCTAATATTTAAATGATGGGGACGGAGTGAGTCTAATGTGGTTGTGATGGTTCATTTTATGTAGGTGATGGAGAAGAATGTAAATTCTTATGTTCTCTCAAAGAAACTTCAAAAGGTGTCCGAGACATTTTCATCTCATGTAAAACTCTATTTTATATTTACAGTGTTTTAGGTAACAAAAGACCGTCATCACCAGGAAACTGAAATCTAGACTTTAGATGCTTTAGGTACAAAGAGAAAATATTGTTTTATCACCACAAAACCTTCCTAAAAACAGTCACAGTTAGATTTTGTGTAACCCATCAGCCAAAGCACATACAGTCGACACTGGATGGATTTGAAGAACCTCGGCCATTAAAACATCATTAAAGTCTGGAAATGACTTGAAACATAAACTGAAAACACTGAAAAGTTCTGAGAGAAAAAGACTGAAATCAAAAACAAGTAGGACGGGAGTGAACAGACCTTCCAGAAATCTACAACCACCCAGAACAGTCATAGAGAGGATTTTATTGGAAAGGCATAGTCAGCATAACACACACAAAAATCACACATAGAAATGCCAAAGAATAGGATTTAAAACAAACAACTTTGGAGAAATTTCCAAACCAACCTGAGAAAACAGAGGAATGTGACCCAATCAGAGATGGACGTCTGAACCAAAGCACTCAGCTTTGCTCGGTCCCCACAGTAAGAATCTACACAAACCTAAACATGTAGACAGATATTTCAGTGTACACAGTGCTGTGAATACTCATTGCTGTGCCTTCATCATGATTGACAAGCTGCGAGGTAGCCACGCCTTGAAGCACCTCGTTTTGTTGACTGTGTACATCTTAATGAGACCATAATTTACAAAACAAACACGGTACAGTGCTGAAGCAGGATTTAAACTAGAGACTAAGACTATAAATATACTAGAAAAATGTTTACTGAGGTAACAAGTCAGATAACTTTCTCATAGACTTCTATACAGTTGGACTTTATTTTGGAACCAGAGGAGTCGCCCCCTGCTGGACATGTGGAATGATTTAAGATGTTTCACTTCTTTCATGTGATCTGTGACCTGGATCTGATGTGCTGAGTTCTGACCAGTAACTTCATAGAGATTTACACATGTTGGTTTACATCATGTGCATTAATGTGAGCATATACACATGCAGACACCGAGAATAAACAAGAATAAACGCCAGAATCTATTTCTGAGGAATGTTTTCTTTGAAACCAGTAATTAATGTGGAAAATGAGAGGGAGAGAGAGAAACTTCTTCTACACTCAGTGAATTAACAGCAGAAGAAGTTTGAGTCATCCAGCAGATTTAAGCCCATTTTATCACTATTTGTGTTTAGCCGTTGGATTCTACACATAAAATACCTTAAATGCAAATGGACTCCTTTAACAGCTGATGTGCTTGTTTAGTGGTCATAAACCTGTCCAAATGGGCGGCGTTGTATCCGAGTTGATGGAGTATTTCAGTTAGAGTCCATGTTTTTATTCCACTGAGGGAATAAAAGAGTACGAACACTGTGATTCTGGGTGATTATGTGTGTGTTTGGTTGTTTTTTTTTTACTGGGAGCTCTTCAGTTATTTTGCTTGTAATTCACTGCAATTTTGCAACACACAGAGAAAAAGGCAGGGAGAGCGTTTAGGCATCGTAATGCACCGAGTGTGTTCAGCACCTCGGACAGCTCTGCACAAACACAGAGGGAGGAACCGGCAGCTCCATCCTCCCACAGCGACAACGCTGCACGGCGCAGGAGGAAGTTATATAACGCCACGGCCATGTGGAAACCGTGTCTCTCTGAAATGTCAGGAATGGTTTTAACTGGACCTCTGTGTGTTTTCCTCTGGGTTTTGGAACCTTTCACAAAACCCAAAGGTCAGCTTGTTTTCTCAGCCCACAGAAGGGCACCAGAACCTTCAGAGTTAAAAAGATCGCTGCAAACCAGTGACAATCTGGGAAATTACTGTTTAGTGTCTCTGACCAGCCGTCGTTTTTTTGGGGGCAGATTTTATGGATCCTCTTCTTCCATTCATTCATTTTCTTTTCGTCATGACTATTTTTTATTTCTTTTGTTTTCTTTGTTCCATTGCTTTTTGTGCTCTTCTCATTTTTCTACTTTTTCCTTCTTTCATGTTTTGATTCGTTGTTCTTGAGTTTGTGTTTTCTCTTTCCCTCCATCCTCCTCTCTTTCTGGACATAATCTGCTCTAGCCTTTTTTATTTACAGTTTTAAAAATATTTTCACACTAACCAGAGAGCTCCTGTCAATTCACACCCTGATGTTAACTGGAGGCCGAGTGGAGAGTTTTTCATGGCAGCAAACCTGGACATGAAGTCGACATGTTGTTTTTTTAATGGGGGGTTTAACAGAGTGGCATCATAAAAATAAACCAAATCCTTCACAGAGCGAGATGACGCTGGAACACATTGCTGCCCTGCCATGTGCTGGAGTGAGGCAACTGTTGAGCGATTAATAAAAATCAGCGGCTTTGAATAAAAGGAATATTGCTGATGAGCTGAGTTGCCCCTCCCTCGGCCGACCCGCCCACCTCCCAAAAAAAAAAAAATTAAAAATTAATTGCCTCTCATAAACCTCTGGTAAATTCCATGTCATCATCCACCCACTGATTTTAATTTGAGGAGAAACAGCTTTTACCATCTTATCTAATGTATTACTTGGTCCCATGTGACTGGGACCAGGAAGCCCACCATCTCCCCCCGCATCCTCTCTGCTTGTGCCTTAAGAGGATTAGGCGACTCTATATATAAAGCACATTATCTTGTCTTTTGTTGCTGCCCAAGTAAGTGTTATAGATTATACTGCAGCGGGAGATTAACCGTGCTGGGAATTTTGATGTGGGTTATGTTTTTTTTTCGTAGCTCGCCATCAGGCCTGCTGGGACCTGATCCGTAGAGTTGATAGGTCACAGGGCAGCGGCTGGAGGAAGAATGGGCTTCAGGAAATGGATGTTAAATCGCTCTAATGTGGTCAGCTGCAGGAGCAGGAAGCTGGACTCATGTGTCAGGATGATGTCAGCTTTTCACTAAAAATAAGCCGTCACGTGAAAGACGGATGCAGACTGATTGATGGCGATTGATCAGGTGTTTGTTGTCGTGGGGAGACTTTAACCTGAAGTGCTGCGGTGTCGAAGAAACTGATGCAACGCTTTGCAAACACAAAACCGTTAACTGTTAATTCTCGTTAACATGGTAAATATCAGGCTTCCGTTCTAAACTTTCTTTACTGTTTAACACCCAACCCGTGTCCTCTTTATATCGTGTCTGTTTCATGTCTTGACTTTCTTTAGCAAAAATCATTACATAAAACATAGCGAGCAGGAAAAGAGAGACAACTTTATCAACGGAGAATCCAGGAGAGAGCTGGTTCCAGAGCTGCCCACACCGAGTGAACGGTCATGAGGACCAAAGCTGGACAAAAATATACAAACCTTTGGAAACAGTGATTAACTGTAAAAAGCCTGAACTGGAAATCAGAATTTATTTATCGTCAACACTGACTCTGGCTTATGCAACATGTTTATTTCAGTAAATAGGTTCATCACTGAAGTTACCGTCACCATGTAGAAATACTCAGTTCTTAGCTGAAAACACACAGAAGGCTCGTGGACTTAAACATGCATCAGAGCTTTAGAAGTAGATGTTTTGCAGAATGAGCACTTTTACTGGTGCATTTTAATGCTGATTGATGAGTTTAGTAATCTTTAATAATGAATCATAATCATTAAGATTAGATTATTACTGTTTCATAAATGTACTTCAGTATTTCCTCTGATGTGTCGTGAAACAGACATTTTAAATACTTACATTAGTCAAGTGGAGTCACATCCATTTATAGAGCACATATAAAACATCAGACGTCGACACAAACTGCTTTTCATTTGAGTCCAACCTTTTTTACGTTTCTTTACTGACTGTTGGTTCATGTTTCACTGCATTGTAAAGTCCTGCACCTTTATGGAAACAGTAAGGCTATGAATAGAAGTAAAGAAAAATCTAATCGTTCAGAAATACATTTTAAAAGAAGTTAAATTAAACTGAATTAAATTAAACATTTAAAAAAACAACAACAAAAACAGTTGCTACCAGCACTGGGAAAACGTTGACCCTACAGACTATTTTCCTGCTCACATTTACATTTTGACCTTTCATACCTGTCCACCTGTGTACACACAGCCTGCAGTTAAATCCAGTCCAGCTGAAACGTACATGAAGCATTTTGAGCTTTTTTATTTTTTTTAAACGACACATGTAAAACTAAGTAGTTATAATGAAATATTACAATTATAAGCTTCGATTTGCTTATTTTTTTCCCCTCAGAACCTGAAGTCACACATGATTAGTTGTTATGACTGTTGGACAATCAAACATCAGATGATTCTTTATGTTTTTGAGGTCTGTTGCTCTGATAAATGGTGTGAATTTGATGATTTTTTAAAAAGATAACTTGGTTTTCCAACCTGCAGGTGGGGTTTTAGAGTTCAGAGGGTTAAATTACAGAAAGAAGTGCAAATGTTCATCTCTGGGCACTTCTCTGGGATGAATAAAGTATTTTTCATTTCATTCTGATGTTACAGCTCAGACCTCATAATGTTATATTGAAAAACCCAAGTCAAGCACAAGTCCCTTGAAACTGCATTTGTTAAATGTACTTTCCATCAGCGGACACGCTCCCCGCTGTGCAGACATATCCCGTGGTGATCCCTTCCTCCCACTTCCCCTCTTTTCCCTTTGGTCCCCCTTCAATCCAAAATGGCCACCGCATTACGTCACCTCCCGTGTGGCCGGCTTCTCCCCGCGCTGCCTCCTACAGGTGCGCATCAGAGCCACAATGGCGGCTGGGGCTTTATTGAGCACCTTTGGCAGCTGTAAGCCCCCCCGCAGTAAGGGGATTATTCAGTGTTTGGCCGACACATGGTGATCTCAGCACCTCCTGATTGGATTGCAATAATCCCTTTACACAGCCACAAAACCCTATTACTCCGGCATTAGAGAGGCAGAGGGAGGGCAGGGGGTAGAGGGCAGTGGGGGGGCATCTGATTTGGACACTGTGCAGTTGTTTCTGTGTGCGTTTATTGTTGAATGTATGCGATGTGTTTTCAGGTGCTCGGTGGACGTTTGTGTGCAGCCTTTCCGAGCTTTTATGCATTTGAGTGTTTTGCGGTTTGCAGTGCGCATGTGTGAGCGTGTGGGTGAACAGCTCTTATTTTTTTTTCTGTGACTTTATAAAAACCTTTATGTGCGGTTTGTGCTTTAGATGTGTGTTTGTGCGTTTCCTTCATGTGCATCCTGTGTGCAGGTGGAGGGTCGCAGCCCTTCCTGTTACATCACTGCTGCTTTTAGCTGCTGAGACAAATATAATGGAAGCGCTGCTACTACAGCGAGGAAGGCTGCTGCTGCTTTTAGCTCCACACAATGCAGCTGTGAAGAGGTGACGCCTGCAGTCGGCTCACTAACTAACAAATAACAACTCAAACCACCAGGCGTAAGATAAAACTCTTGTGATCAGGACAGCCGAACCCGCCGGACCGGATGTCTGCCCACGCCGCCTTCCATTTTTAACAAACTTGTCTCATTTTAGCAGAGAGCCATTAGGCCTTTTTTGGAAGCTAATTCTGATTAAGATCGGCCCCATTTGTAACTGCCACCATAAATCATCGGCGGAGCCATTTAAAGATCTGCACCAGCTCGTTCCGTCCTCTTCATCCATTACAAAGCGTCGCACCGGCCATGTTTTGTGTGCTGATTTTCAAGGCTACGGGGGAACAAAGCAGATTCTTGCTAACAGTCCCTTGTTATGATCTTATGCCAAGTTCATTTGCTGGTAATTGATCAAAGTCACGTTGCCGTTCCTTCATTATGAAAACTGTGTGTATGTAGGTAACGAGGCTGAGGCTCGGCATTGGCACATCCAGTAAATGGATTGAAATATAAAAATGGGCACTTAGATCTGGGATTAAACGCATTGTTTTGTTATTGTTGTCCTTAGAGGGACTCCACATTGGACCATGCAGTCTTGGATCTATTTGCTTGTTTTACAAAAAACATGGTACCTGCTGCTCCATCTGGAGCTCCAGAGTTATAAATAAACAACTTATTGAATAAGTTAAAAAATCACAAGCTCATATGTGAAACCTGAAGGGTAACGCCAGCCAGATAAAGAAAGAATCTAAACCAAAGATTCATACAGAAACACAGACTATACTTAAAACCTCTCTTTTCCCTCCAGTCCTACATGGAGGATCACCTGAAGAACAAGGACCGTCTGGAGAAGGAGTGGGAGGCGCTGTGTGCATACCAGGCCGAACCCAACGCCTGCACCGTCGGACTCAAGGACGGCAACGCCAAGAAGAACCGTTCGACTGCTGTGGTGGCATGTAAGCGATGAACTGCGTCTTGTAGGTTTCTTTGCCTTAAAGCCAGTGAGCTCAGCCTGCGACTACAAAGTGAACTGCTCATTTTCTAGATACTATTGTACTCTTAACACTTCAAAACTACACCTTTAAGGGCATCTCCAGCGCCGTTGGTTCTACCTTCAAAGATGCAAACTGCTTAAACATGAGTCTCCAGATAGCGAAAGGTTTTGGGTTCCTTCAAGAGCTGTTACATGATTCTAGCATCTTTCTGATTAACAAGAAGGTGCAGATAATACAAAAACCCAATCAGTAGTTGCTGCCGTTGTATCATAAGACAAGTTAATTTCATCTGCTGCAAGTTTTTTATACGTCTACAAACAACTGACAAATGGAGCAGGTGGCGCCTTGTGGTGAACATCATCGACGTGACTGTGAGGATGCTTCAGTGTCAGTGGAAAGTTTATGTATTTGCAAATACATTTTCCCACATTTTAATTTTAGGTGCCAGCAAAGTTTTGGGTGAATCTTCAAAACTAAATTGTGCACCATTTAGCAAAATGAAAGCCTCTGACAGAGTAGAACAGCATCATGTCCTCGCTGATGGAGTCGAAGCAGAACATTTCAGCCGTTACACCTCCTGATCCTTCAAACACTGGTGGCATCACTCTGGGCGCCTCTCCACAACACTCACCGTTTATTCTCAGCCTCAGCCTCTATTATCAGAAAGCGGGAGCAGATGCAGCGAGCAGAAGGCTTGTAAATTAGTTTTCTATTAAAGCTCTCCTGCACCGACCTCATCAATGATTAAAAATTTCTAAGCTTCTGTGGAAATAGCCCATCTAAAAAAGTTCTGTCCTATTCTCTCCACCAGGCCGAGGCTTAATGAAATCCAGGTTGTCAGCAGGCAAAGCAGTTTGTCGGGAATAAATTGTGCTTCCTATTTGAAGCACCACTAGCTTCTCCAAAAAAATGTTTAAAAAAATCTGTTTGGTGCCTTCGCAGGAGCCTTTAGGGGAGTGAAAAAGTTTAACTTCTCAAAAAAAGGGATGATGAGGATCAGAAACTGAAGTGTTGTAATTCAGAACCAAAATGCTCCTGATGGTCCGAACAGTACCTTCACTGCAAAGTTGCATTTTATTCTGTATGATATTCACAGATTCTTGTAAAAATGTTTGTTCCACAGCAAAACCTCAGAAGTCTGAATCTGTGTTTCTGAGACATTCGTCGGCCCGCTGCAGCTTTAAGATGGAAAACGAGGGCGTTGACTTTTGACTTTTTTGCTCATGAGACATCTTCCATCATATAAAAAAACACTTAAGTAAAAACTAGATTTTTGTCACAGGCGAGTTGTCCTCTCAGACCAGTAGTCAGTGTGATGAACCGTGATTAAACCACGATGCACCACAAGTACCACAAAATGGACCTGTTTTGTCATTTGAGTGTGAGAAAGTACCGTTGATATATAATGTGTGTGCCGATGGCAGTACTGGCACTACCTGAACTTGTAAAAAGACATTTTAGCTGAGTAGAAACTAGATTTTTGCCACAGATGCGTTGTCCTCTCAGTCCAGTAGTTACTGTGATCTTCCTTTAACCGTGATTAAACCACGAACCAACACACAAACCACTGTTTAAAAAAAGCCAAAAATGGACTAATTTTGTGTTTTAAGTCGGAGGAAGTACTGCTGATGTGTAACGTGTGTGCTGATGGCAGTACTGGCTCTACCTGAACTTGTATTTCTAAAATCTTTTGAATCTCCGTAATGCTTTATTATCAGTTTTATAAGATGAGACTTTCAGAGTTTATCTCCACAGAGAGTGAAACCTGTATATATTTCATAGAGGTGCCCTCCAGACGGGGAAAGTTAGTGAAATCTCTTCTTAGTTTCCTCGTCAACTAATTCTGTCCTGAACTGAACAGAACCTCACTGTGACTGCTCGTGGAATCAGGAGTTATGAAAACTCAATCGATCGGCACAGACTCCCTCATTGCCATGCGTGTGATACGGCCACTTGCATTACTGAGAGAAAATGCGCTGAATTCTTCATTTTTTTGTTCCAGATGATCACTCCAGAATCACCTTGAAGGTGGAGAACAGCCAAGGCAACTCTGATTACATCAATGCCAGCCCCATTGTAAGTACCTCCTCTGCATTCTGACTCTGCTTTCACGCCGCCGCTGCCACACCAGACTCCCACCGTCCCCACGGGGCGTCGCAGAAACAAAGGCAGCCTACCGTTGTCCAATATAAATTTTGATGCAACGCTTGCTTTGCTTCGGCGGCAGCCTCGCGCTCTGTGTATGTTCTGTGCCATGAATATTAATGACTGCTACACGGCAAACACCCCGGGCGAGTGTTCGCTCGGGGAAGGTGTGGGAAAGGACATGCGCGGCTCTCGGCTCGCTTCTCATTTGTGAAAACAAAATTGATCCGTAGGGTCTTGGGAAATGATTGTTTTTGACCTTGGGTTATGCTAATTTGACACTACTTTGTGTTTACTGTTCCGGTGCGCTCGTCTTGCCGAAGCCTTGTCTCGGCATGCTGTGGATTCAGTCTGTGGGAAGGAGAAGGACGGGGTAGAAGGGGTGGGGGAAGAAAGAGCCGCGTGAATCCAGTAAGTGAGTGTATCAATTTAGAAACTGGTGTTGGAATAGTAGCTTTACGTCTCCCTGGAGGCAGATACAGTGGGATTCCATTAAAAGCAACAGAAACGCTATGCATTTCAAATCCGGGCGTCGCACCAAAAACTGGCAGGAAGTGTGTGTGTGTGTGTGTGTGTGTGTGTGTGTGTGTGTGTGAGCGAATCAAAACTATACGGGAACAAAAGAGCAACCTTGTCAAATGTCACAAACACACAAATGCAAAAATGGATGCGGCACATGTGCCCACACAGGCTCCCCTAAAAACACACACACACACACACACACACACACACACACACACACACAGGCATCAGCGTGCACACAAACACACCGTTGGACAGACGACACAAGAGTACAAACACCCACGCAGACACGCAAACAGACCGTCACGCATGCATCCCTGCCTCCCACACACACACTAGCATTAGAGGATGGATGCAGGTTAATGTACGGCGCATGCTGAGGCTATTTCAGGAATCCCGTCTGCAGCCGGAGCACAGACGAGACGTTCAGGGTGTTGTTTCGCAGCAACGTGTTGGTTCATCCCGTCCAGGGTAGATCGTTCGTTATTAGCAGATACGTCAGTTGTAATTCCCAGTTGTCACGTTGGGAAGCTCCCTTTGATTTTAAAACATTAAATGCATTTCCAGCTGCTCATGAAAGACTTTCTCACGTTTCTGCCACAGCAAAGACAAGTGAAGCTCGAGTCCAGACCAACAGGTGCTCGTGTGCTTATGTTAGAGTTACTCAGGCTTTTGCCTTCGCCCAATAATCTAAACCCATGAGTTTGATCCCTTCTTCCGGTGTTGACGGCCTATTAAATGCAACAAGGCACCTTCTAGTCGACCAGAATTCACATCATCATCCATTCTGATTGCTTATAAATAGAAAGTAACCCAGATAACGGAGGCGAGCTTGTGTGGTTGTATGTATACAGGATGGTAAAGATAAGAAATAGGACTTTGTAACGTTTGGTAAGCATCAAGGTTTATCTTTACCCCAACTAAGAGCCTTTTTCTCAACCTCACCAAGTAGTTTTAGGACCTAAACGTACCCAAACAGCAGCAGAAACCCTCCAGTCTAACAGCACCTTCTACCTGAGCAGTTATTGGTTTAAAGGTTTAGTTCACCCAAGCAGGATTTTCTACATGACAAGTTATTGCTTTTAAAGGTTTGCACTACTTTAATACTGCAATCTGACAAGTGCTTATACCTTTAAAGGTTTATTCCACCAAAGTAGTACTTTCTGACTGACAGGTTATGTTTTTAATGGTTAATTCACCCAAAGTACTGCTTTCTGTTCAAGGACACACAGTTTTAAAGGTTCATCCCACCTAAATAGTTCTTCCTATCTCATAGATTTTAGGTTTAAAGGCTTATTTTACCTAAAATACTACTTTCTGTCCAAGTATTTATGGGTTAAAAGGTTACTTTCACCCAGAATACTATTTTATGTCAAAGTACCGATAGCTTTAATGATTCATTACATCCAAAAATATATATCTTCTGTTCAAGGGCATAAGTTTTAAAGTCTTGTTTTACCCAATAATACTTTCTGACAAGTTATGGGTTTAAAGTCAGAACTAAAGACTGTAATATTGGTCCAAGATTGGGGTCACACTTGAGTCTCCTGGCCGGACATCTGCTGACTAAGACCACCACCAAACCCAGAAGTCGTGGCTCCATCAGCATTAAATGGGGGGAACGTGGTCTACTGAAGACTTCTACTGAAGAAGGTGGAGGAAGTTCCTGTAGGTTCATTTGAATGGGAGTGATGCACCATGATGATGGTTTTTGAACGGACTTTCATCCGTTCCCAGTTTATACCAAAAGCAGTTTTCATCTGACGTTCACAGACATGAATTTTGTTGGACAAAAGAAGTCCAGTTGATTTGTTCTTCCTGCTGTGTCGCAAAAACACCGTTTATTCTCCTTCAAGCAGGACATGTGAGATTGGGTTGGACTGGCCTTTAGTTTGATCTCTGCTGTCTGACCTTTCTGATACGTTTGAGGAAATAAATTACAACAGTTTTAGGTCTTTGGGTCATAAGCTGCAATGTGATAGTTGATTGTTTTAAGACGATGAACCAGAATTAGACAAAACGAAGGGATGCTGCTGTCAGTTTGCTGCGTTGCATTTGCTGAGACACTGAATCGTATTTGATGAAATATCAAAATAAATCTTTGGACCAGTTTTGAAGCCCAAAGATTCTCCTGACAGCCAAGCAGATGAAGCAGGTGCAGATTTTGTTCTTGCTGGTAAGAGATTGTGTTCGTGATGGAAAAACAAGGCGTTGTTTGGCCAGACTTGCATGTATTATGGTAAAATAAATGAAATCAAATTAAAATAACTTCACTGCTGCTAATCCTGCAGATTCCAGCCAGAGTTGCTCTAAATGTGCTGCTTGTGTGTTGATGCCTTTAAATGCTAGAATAGAAAATGTTCGTTTCTCCTCTCGGTCCTGTCAGAGCTAAAAACAACATGTTTGCTCTCTTTGGCTAAAACATGTGTGATGTGGCCACAGACGCACAATCAGTCACTGAGCCGCACAAACGTACTCACAATCAGTTACTCACTTCCTCCTTTAACACACACACACACACACACACACACACACAC